AAACTTGTCTGTGATAGTCGAGATTTTGTAGCTTCGACTCCACAAGAGAATTGTTGTTAATAAGTATCTTTGCTTTTCGCTCCACCGAGTCCAAGGCAGCCAGCTGGTAATGGACAGAGCCGTCGTAAAGGTGGCAACAGTAGTCCATACAGGATCGAACTTGTGCTTTATACAGATTGAAAAGCAGTTCAGGTGTGAAGTACCGCCTGACCTTGTAAAGTATGGTTAGTTTTCTGGCAGCAGTTTTTGCCAAGCACTCGAAGTATCGCCAAAATTTGAGGTTGGATGATAAGTCCAGACCAAGTAGCTCAAGGTGGTCCCTTATCGGAACGGATACATCTCGGAAAGTCGGAGTAAGGTGTAGGAGACAATACAAAAAAACATAACCCATACCCTCTCCAATTTTTGTAACTCTATCTACAATATTAGTCGATAGAATTACGAGAATTGGAGAGGACGTGGGTTATATTTTTCTGTATCTAATGGAGCAATAAACGTTTTTGACATAACTCCACTTATGCCATTCTTCCATGAGGGGTGCGAAATGTTCTCTATTCTCATACGAAATCATGTTTGCTAATAATATATTTCAGGTAATCACGATTGAGAGTTTACTTAAATACTCAGCGGTAACTTGAAACTAACACTAAATTATACAACCTAAATATTGTACATCATATGTCAACACTAGGCATAAGTCAATTTTTTACATAGCGTCCTAACTTTCGAAAACAAACGTAGGTGGATGTCATAAGCATAAATGATCAATATTTTTGCTGACTCATTTGTTAAACTGTCAGTCACAGGGTATACACAACACAATAATAAAGAAGCATGTGTGCAAATTTACAGTTGAAATTTACAGATTTTGCACTTCAGTGCCTAAAGTGAAGTCGGTAAAATACGTACATCAGCATATGGAGCTCTATATTATCTTGGAATCGTTCGGAGCAATCATTTAGACAACGTTATGTATTATTATACTTATTCAATGTAGTGATTTAATTTGGCACTCAATAATATCGTTAAAAGTTTAGAAGCAGCGCTGAAACGTAAAGACTATTAGGTATACCGTCGGAGTTAGTGCAAATCCGCGAATGTAGTATCGGTATCTGCACTAAACCAATTTCACAGGAGAGGGATTTTAACGTTACTACTTTTTTATTTCAATGGCTACGACTTTCATTTACGCACAGTTATTAATTTATGATGTCTACGGACTGATAAGAATAGATTCCCGTAAATCAGGCTAATTTGGTTGCCACGACATTCACGCGGGTTTGATTTGACAACTAAATTACCGAAATAGAAACTCATAATCAAACGCTAGTTACGGGTAATTGCACTATCCCCGACGAAATAGTTTTGGAGGGTTTCAGCAACAATATTTTTACTCTTCATAGGCAACGTTAGTGTCAATAAACATAAACCTATCTCTAATATAAAAAAATGTTTCAATAACAGCACTCAGACTCTGATAGCACAACCGTAAAATGTTAATAATGTATAGGTATAAGCACCGTCCAAACACATTTCTTAAACACCTATAAAAATATAGAGCATATTATACAACGCGTGACTAATTGAATACACTGTTGCGATTAAACGTCATATAATCCACTAGACAATAGCGTTATCCCAAGACTTATTACGTTAACTAGGTTAAACTTTTTTACTCGCCGGTGCTATGAGTAAAACCATTTCCATTTCAAGGCAACGGTTGAAAGATTTTAATCGATCGAAACTAGAAACATTCGTTTATAGCATTCATTGGCGTGTTTCATTAATTTTGAAAGTCCGCAAATTTCAAATTTATAATTGCTTGCAGTAAGCTTACATAATCAAAATTTGAAGGAATTTTGGGAAAAGTGGAAAATACGAAGGGTGATCCAAAAGTAATGGTAATCGGGTATTTGTAATACTTAATGGAGTATTGTTTTACCAAGACAACTCGCCCGCACATAAAGCTGAAGTTGCGATGGCTGCCATTCAAGAAGCAGGGTTCGAACTTCGAACATCCGCTCTATTCTATGGAGTATCTAGCCCCTAGAGAAAGTTATTTCTTTCCTTGGGTCAAAGAACAGCTCAGGGGAAGGAAATTTAAAGAAGATAGCGAAGTGATGGCCACTGTAGAGAAATTTTCGGAAGGACAAGAAAAATATTTAGTTTTGTAAAGGTACGAGGGTCTAGATGGACGGACTAAACGTATTGACTATACATGAGCTAACGTTGAAAAATAGAAATACTTTTGAAACATAGCCGTTGTTTTCAATGGTAATGTAATGATAATACTTTTAGATCACTCCTCGTATATGTATATATACAGTGTTGTAAGATTATAGACAACAAAGCGCCTTGTGCACTTGGCAATGTCCGCATAAGACATAATGCAATTACATTCGCAATATGTGTTATCGAAATAACATAACTAAATTTAAAAACAAATATAAAATTAAATAATGCACCTCGAAAACTCCGACACACACTCCAGCAAAAACAAATCACTTAAACCCGGCAGCTCAACTTACACGAGTTGACCAAGCAGAGAATGATCTAAATATCTCATATGTGTACACATACAAATACAAAATGTTAAACTTATTGCTATAGGCGAAAGGTCACACCTGCACAGACGCGTGTGCGACATAGTAGGTCGGATGTCCGTGTTTCCGGTCGTTGGCGCGTGACGGGCCTTCCGGCTAGGGGTGCTGACATGACCGTGACGTCTAAACATTGCCATATTGTGTTAATTTTTGGTAAATTAAAATGATAGAGCACCGACAACGAGAGACAATGGGACGATCCGACGAAAAGCGCTTTGAATAGCATTTATCACGCAATTCGTTCAAAACTCAGTGGAGAAATCTTACACATGGTCGCGAAACGCAGTGGTAAGTCATTAAGGATGGAATATGCGAGACAACCGATTATAAATGTTTCAACAGTTTGGTATGCAGTACTGACAATCAAAACCGGGAATTAGTTGGCAATAGTAAGTTAGTTTTGTTGACACGTACATAGGGCGCACTATAAGTTTCCGGAATTGGCCACTTAAACTATATTTGAAAAGCAATTACAACATTTGAAAATAGAACTCTTTGGCTGTAGAATACAGTTTGTTTCATCTGACTGTCACTTGTTTTTACATAGTGGCGTCATTTTAGAAATTGGTTGTCTACATCACCATGGATTTAACTCGTGAAAATTTTCGTAGTAATTTAACACCTCAGCGGAGCTTCACTCGGCTTCAAACTGCTTTTGGCGATGAAGCACCATGCAAGACGACTATTTACAGCTGGTTTGCAGAATTCAAACGCGGTCGTGTGAATCTCAGTGACGAATTTCGTGATGGTCGCCCGTCCACTGCTGTGAACAACAAAAACATCGACGCTGTGCGCCGTATGATCAAAACAGACAGGCATGTGACATACGATGAGATTCGGGCATCTTTAAGCATATGCATGTGTCAAATACAATCTATACTACACAAACATTTGGTTGTGAAAAACCTGTGCTCTCGGTGGATCCCACACAATTTGACTGAGGCTCAAAAAACGGATCGCGTCACTTGGTGCAATGCCATGCTTACCAGATTCAACGAAGGGGCAATAAGTTCGGTGTGGGATATAGTAACAGGTGACGAAACATGGATTTATAGTTACGATCCCAAAACAAAGCAGCAATCGAGCGTATGGGTCTTCCGAAATGAGCCGAAACCAACCAAGGTGGTGCGCGTGCAAAGTGCCTCTAAGCGAATAATTGCTTCTTTTTTAAATAAAATTGGACACTACTATTGCTTTGGAGAATCATTCTACCGTGAATTGTGATTGGTACACGACCATTTGTTTGCCGGAAGTTATTGACAAACTTCGTAAAAATAACCGTAAACGCCGTATCATCTTGCACCACGATAATGCCAGTTCTCACGCGGCCAGACAGACAAATGAATTTTTGAAGGTGAACAACGTTGACCTCATGAGCCATCCCGCGTACAGTCCCGACCTGACACCTTGTAACTTTTATTTACTTCCAAAAATTAAGAACCAGTTACGCGGTCAACGATTTTCATGACCTGAAGAGGCTGTCGAAGAGCATGAAAAATATGTTTCCGAGATTTTCAAGGAGGAGTGGCATAAATGTTTTCAAAATTGGTTCATTCGTATGAAAAAGTGCATTAGCGCTAACGGAGAATATTTTGAGAAACAATAAATTCAATTCTGACCATTTATACTATTTTCTTCTTATTCATTCCGGAAACTTATAGTGCGCCTCACGTATTATATATGATTTAATTTAATACGTTTGAGATGATAATGAGTCACATTAAATGAGTGATATTAAATATTTAATGTTTGCTCTGTTCCCTCAATTCTCGTGATAAGATTTGACAATTTAAATTACATTTGCGACTTACTTCTGATAGTTCTACAACTTTACGTCTGTCTGCTTTCCCAGTTCTTAGTAATAAAGTCAAATTCCAGGGGTTTCTACTAATTAGTATTCTTTACTACTCGCGTTCAAAATAATATACACTACTTTATTACATAATGTACCTACTATTATGAAAGTAATCATTACCTAATCATACAAAAGGAATGTAGAAGTCTTTCGGGACGGAACTTCGAAACAATTTTGCATAGTTTCGATCCAGCTGTGGCTGGTAACGGATAGAGCACAAGGCGTTTGGATCAATATGGCCCAATGACGTAGATTGCTGTCCCCTGTTGGGGAGGTTCCCCTCGATATTATACAAAGGTCGTCATGGTAAACGGGCCTGATAAATTTATAAAATTATTATTTTTGGCGTCAGCGAAAATACTATAGAATGCTAGTGCCATATTATCAGTAAACATCGCAACGGTGTAATTGGATTATAGTGCTTTATGTAATCACTAGCCTTATCTAATCAGACCTTTTCGCATTCTTGAAATTATGACCACTCCTAAGTAAAATTACCTTTAATGAAACAGTATGTTAGAAAATGTACAAAATATTTATTATTTCAATTAATAAGGTTAAAAAAGCAAATATATTACATATGACGTGTGTTACCGAACGATATGCCGGTTTGCTGGTCTTTATTTGTACCGTACTGCAAAGAAATGACGTTCTGGCCGGCTTTCAACTGCTCCTCGGTAAACTCGCGCACGTTTTTCTCAGCCTCCTTTGGTCCAATCGAAGGTTTACCGTAGTTACCAGCTTTCCTGCCCAGCGACTGCAGGCAAATCACAACAGAAAACAAGTTTTGTTTCTCCCAAAGATCGATGGTCTGGAATGTTTCCTGCGGAGGCACACCCAACTTTTTCGCGGCTTCGAGGAAGGAGTTAATATTCTCCATGCACTTAAATGCCAAGTTTGACTGATTTATTTTCTTCACAGATCCATCTTGTATAGCGTTGACTAGTTTACATAGCAGAGTGCCGTCTTTAAGGACATTGTAGAGGTTATCAACGTCACCTGAGGTGTTGTCAGGCTCACCAGTCAATACTTTGATCCATTCTAAAGTTTCTTGAGCGACGTCATCTCTGTATTTGCTGTTGATCCTGGCCTGGGCATCGGCGTTGATACCGGCTTTTGCTGCTCTATATTCCGCCATTTTTGTGCTCACTGAAGTACAGACACGTAATCACTGAACGCCTTGTGATAAGTGTGCTTCCAATATCGGGACGATACCGATTATCGACAGGTAAAGTCACGTGCAATAAAATGTATACACGAAGCGAAATTCAAATCAGATTTCCGTAAAAAATCGAACATATTAGACATGTGATGTGAGCAAAACAAACCCATAATAGCAAATGTTTATTTGATAAAAATAACACCATTTTGAACAAAAGGGCACGCCGACTGTAATGTCACTAGGTGTAATGCATATTATTAATGTATGTGACTGTACTACAAGATTTAATCGTCTCTGTTTATCTACCAGTAGATAATATGTGTTTAGTAGTGGCAAGTCGTAAAACTTACAGTTTATAGAACGTGATAATGAGCTTATAATACTACTTCTTTTATGATACTTTTTTAATCAATTATCTGGGTGGTTCTTCCTCCATGTATCCCGCGGTCCGAAAAGTTAATGTAAAATACATAAAAAAGCTAATCTGAATTTTCTAGAACTCATGACATCATCAACTATTTTACAATATTATCAATAGGTGGAGTACTTAATTGATATTTACACTGGATACAAAAGATTTTATCACAACTATTATCAACATCCTGTCACACTTCTCTTTAATACCTTATTAGGTAAACACATGATTATAGATATCAAACTCTAAGATTGTACTATCATGTACTAAATTATAATATAAATGGATATATTTACCTCATGCACAAACACTCACATAGTGTTAAATCGCATCATGCATATGTATTTTTTTACTTTGACTGTTAAGATAAGTCTGCAATTCTACATCTGCACTTGGGCTACAATATCTACTATAAGATAGAGCAAAAATTTAACATAGTAGCATCAAAGATACCAAGCTGGTTTAGGATTAACGGTTTCATGCTAAACTTGACCAAGACCTACTACTTACATATAAACCTCTCAGGTCGTAGTTACAAGAGTCTTAACGTCATGGTAGAAAAACCCCATTGGGGCAAGTCTCCAATAGTAACTTTTTAGGGTCTCATCTGGATCATGCTATGTATAACCTGGAACTGTCATCTTGATATGCTGTGTAATAAACTCGGCCGCGCATGCTTTGTTCTGCAGCGCCTATCGTGGACTCTGCCATGGGCCATGGTTAGGTCATGTTACTTCGCCACCGTGCACTCGCTCTTACAATATGGCGTCGAGTTCTAGGGATGCGCGGCTGACTGGCAGCGTGCGTTCAGAATGCAGAAGCGGGGTGGTGTGCCACAGCATACGTCAGCTAAGCCTTACTTCGAGCAGTTCGGCATACTCACCTTGCCTGCTCTCGTGACTTCCCAAGCGACTGTCTACACTAGAGAACACCTGGAAACTTACACCAGAGAACACCTGGAAACTTATACTAGATGAGGGGAAGGACATAACCATGAGCTACGTAATAAACACAGGGTTGTACCCGTACAGTATATTTTATCCAAAACAGACAAATTAACGCATGTATTGGGCCCCGACAGTATATAACCGGCTGCCTCTTGAAATTGTTGATTCCGGTTCAGAGAACTTACTTAGATGTAGATTAAAGCACTGCACATCACAACACAATATTAACTTATCACACTGGTTAAGTAATAGTAGTATAAGATAATTAATTAATAAATTTTAAATGTGACTACAATAGTAATATAAGAAAATAATACTAATGTAATTTATAATTTTGAATGACTTGTAAATGTTAATTTTACCAATAAAGAATGTCTATGTCTAAAAATAGAGACGAGTGCAGTGCATACCTCACAAGGCCAGTTGTTGCACAAGACGTTTTTAGGCCCTAAATATTCTGCTTAGAAAACATTCACGCCCATATAAACATGCATTAAAACATAGTTAAGTTTGATCAGTATCAAGAGCAATAGAGACGTAATAATAGAAAACTGATCATTCTCGTGCTGTAGTACTGTGGAAGGTACTAGATCAAATTATTGTTTCAAATTCTCTATTTCAAAGGAGTACCAAAACCTTATTAAGTTCAAGTAGAACTGAAGTATTTCAAAATGAACCTTATATATATATTGTGATATTGCTTACCAATTACCCTACTTATAGAATTGGAGGCTTATTAAAAAAGGGTGTAGTTCAGAAGAGTGTTATCTCGCTGGTTACGATTAGCACATAGAACATAAATATGAATATATACTTATAGAGTGCCAATGAACCGCACAAAACCCCTATCTGGGTCATTCCAACGAAAATGACACTGCAGTTCAAAAAAATAAATTACACAATTTGGTTTTAATTATATGACTAGAATATCCCAATAAATCAAATCATTAGAAATAAATGATATTTTTCAGATATTGTACAATTATTCTATTTTTTCTCTTCATTAACGCAGTCACAGTGCAATCGTCTATGGAGAAGCATTTTTTCCTATAATCTTAGCAACAATTTTCGCGGTTATTTGTGCGTCTTTCTAAATAACTTGTTACTGTAGAAGAAAATACAATTTACGAATTTTAAAACACTTTAGAATGACGTCACAAACAACTGATATGACCTTTGCAGTTTGATTGTTTTCAGTTGTGAATAACCTTTTGTGATTATTTTAATAAATTTTGATAAAATTATTTATATTGTGAGTTCATTTTTCAAATGTAACTTGAAAATAAAAACTGAAAGTAATGGATTTATTCAAAAGTACATAAGATTTTTTTAAATTTTGTTATTTATATTGCCTCTATACTTTCCTCCTTTCTTGCCTTTGTACTTTGCTATCATAAAAAATACCTCCTTTTCATGCAAAAGTTAACAATTAATAATACTTTGCCTAATTCTACAGACACTGTTTGCATGTGCGAATTTATGTATTGAACTATTTTAATTTCTTTTTTCATTATTTATAATGCAAAATACCAAGGTATGGTAAATTTTTTATTTCACATAATCCACAAGCACCATTTAGGAAAATCTCCCTAGAATAGAAACAGAATAGTCAGAAAATTTACCTACATAATAGTACCAGGAATTGAAAGACGCAACCAAATGCATGCTTTTAGGATAGAATTTACAATATATCAGTAAAACTTTAAGCTAACCAGTAACTGAAAAAAAGACTACGTAAATTCTATTGCATATGATTGTGTGAAAATGGGCACACACTTAATGGTTAGCTTCCCAGCACAGTGCAGTTTGAAAAAGGCTTTGTTCAGCTGTGCAGTCAATACTCTGACTAGCACAAGTTATATAATTATACTTACAAATAACTTTCTAAGTAAGTACCACACATTAAGCAAAACTATCTCCCTTTTTAGCTGCAATTTCGAACGCTATGTTAATGAAGTAAGGTATAGTAATAAAGAATATTAACCCGTATATCTTTAGTCCCACTTTACATAGACGGTGATTATTTTAAGACCTTGAATTTAAAGCCGGAAAGTTGATCAAGTGTACGATTATTAAATCACTTCTTATTAAAATCCTTTGCACTTTAACGGAATCAATTTCCAGTAAAATCTTATCGAAACTTTACCTTGGATAATACCTATCTTGTTAATAAGTTTGTGCCAAATAATCTCATGGGTCCTCTCTGATTTTATTATTTTTAGATGAAAGCCTCCGCAGGCTTCGCGTATGACTAAGCAATAAAAATGTTAAGAATGTTACATATCTACAAACTTTACACCGGCAATACAAAGATTCGATAAAGTAGTTTACAATAACTTACCAATGTTCTGATCTGATAAAAAATATTTTCACCACGACACGATTTAAATCAGCAGCTAAGATCCATCGTTCCACAAAACACTTAGACACAAGTCCCAAGACAGCTTTTTATTTCTGCCAGCTAACTGCACACAGCTGTAAATCGTTGACTTGACTAACACTTGACAACACCATGGCGCCGCAAAGCAATTTCAAACACACAATTTCGTTCAGAAATTTAGTCCAAGTTTCCCCACAGACGGACAAGCGAGCGCGGCGCGAATGTGATTTGACGTTTTTATAAGATTGCGATTGGTCAAAAGTCTAAAATGGCGGAATGACAGCTATTTTAGTGTCGGCAGATGTATTTTCACAGCGATTATCGATAATCAATAATAAAAAAACAAACACAGGCCAGAGACGGGCACTTTGATAAAACCGGGTTAAAATCGGATTAAAACCCATTAATGCCAAAAATCAAAACCGAAATCGAAAAATCGGCAAAAACTATTCAAACTATAGATTTGTTGTAAATCCAATTTTGTACCGTGATATTTTACAAAATATTTATGGCTTTTTAAATCTACACGATACGGTTTGATTTTCTATTTAATCGATTCAATTAAAAATCGTAATGTAATAAATAGATACAAAAAATCGTTAGATCGTATGCACTTGAATCGATTTTTGTAAAAATCGAATCGCAATGTGCATCCCTTTAGTAGTGAGAATTCACAGGATTGCTAGGTGGATATTGTGTGGAGTTGCCTTTTTTTTGTTCAAAAAAGATGTATTACATCGAAATTTGTGATAATTATGGAATTATTCCGTATATGATATTTTATTCCATATTCGCATTCCATATCCGCATTCCATATTCGCTTCCTATCCACGATTTTAATAATAATAAGACATTTTTTATTCTTAAGCACATTTACAATGAAAAGGATAACAGTTAACAGTTTTGGAAATGTGGGATCTAGTGCCAATGAAAAGGTTGGAGCCTCAGCACTGCATGCTGCTTTTCCGGTACCACTTTTATACATAGACATTCGCTGCTGACAATCATCAAACTTTACATACTTTTAAACTTAGGTACTTTGATGACAAATATACTAAAAAGAGACTTATAACAAAACATGGAAACAATTTGCCTTGTTATAATGAAATTACGATAACAATTTAGTCCCGCAACATTGTGATGTCTGTACGTTAAGTAGCCATTGCTTACACTTTCCTTTGAAAGTGTGCAATAACTGTCTAAATTTAATCGGGGGTGGAAAGTCATTCCAACACTTAAACGTAACAAAA